TTTTTTTTAAAAAAACTGTCAAGATTCAGCACTTTGTCAATGTTTAATACTCTAGAATTGTAGGTAATTTAGAGTTCCTTCTCTTTTTTAATTTCTAAAAGAACTTGGGGATCTCTTGGAGAAACTTTTACATAAATTGTTAATTAAAATCCTGTTGGTCTACATGAGAATTCTAGGCTTACATTTTTTCCAAATATTAAGAAATTAAAATAATTCCTTCCTTGGTTCCTGCCTCAGTGCAGGGGCTGGACTTCTTGACTTCTCAAAGTACCTTCCAGGCCTAAATTTCTAAGATTCAATAAACAAAGGGAAAAAAGAAACTTAATTTTCAGCAAGTATGCAGGCAAGTATTTGCATGTGAACCAGGGCCGGCTCTGGCTTTTTTGCTGCCCCAGGCAAAAAAGCCTCCCGCCGTCCCCGGACCCCCCGGCGGGGAGCACGGCAGGGGAGGGCGGCGAGCCCGCCGCGGCTCCGCTCTCCCCAGCCGTCCGGAGCACCCCCCCCCTCCAGGTGCGCCCAAAGCACGTGCTTGGTCGGCTGGTGCCTGGAGCCGGCCCTCATGTGAACTAAATACTTACATGCAAAGTATGTGTACAAACTGGTGCACATACATTCCTATATAGGTGCCTATTTAGTTCGGAACTTATCTAGCCGTGTGTGTAAATAATATCCCCAATAGTATGCAAAGTAGGCACGGATTTGCATGCACATTCACTATTGGACTATGTAATCTTTGCTGTCTGCAAGCTGCTGAGACTGAGTACATGGCACAAGAAAGACATTAGGAAACTAATGTGCACCACTCCATTTATAAATCATTGGGTTTCATGCCTTCTGTGTTTCCATATACATGGCTTGATTCATCATTCGATTACTCCAGTGTGTAACCCATGGAGTTACATGGGTGTAAAACTGAGTAACCTGGTGGTGATTCAGGCCCAATAAAAGGAAACAGTATGTTCAGTTCTGACTATTTGTTTCAGATTAAGAAACACAACAGATAGGACGGATTATATTTCTGCTTTTTTCCACTCCCTTAAATAATACCTGTTAATGGTGTGGCTCCTGGGTTACTGCTTGTAGCGGAATGTACTTGGGTGCACTCAGACAGAAAATAACAGCACAGCGCATGAATGTAGTCTGACAAGTAAAACAAATCTAATTTGGAGTCACGATACTATGGAGCAGATTCACGGCCCCACTTGCTTTGCACTGCTCAGGTGGGGCAAAGGGAGTAGACTCTGCCCTCATCTCCCCTTGGAGAGTCCCATGAGGGTGTAGAGCCAGCATGGCTCCTGCACCACACCAGACTCCTGTGTAACTGAGAGCAGAATTCGGCCTTTGGATTGTGCTCACTGAAAAAAAACATGGATTGATTATTTTTCTTGCCCACTGAGCCTAGGCCTTCATTGCAGCAACACCCTCTTCCTCCTCTGGCCCTCCCCTCCCGCCGCACCGTCTCTTCTCTTCCCACCCACCACCCTCCCAGCAGGAACTCTCTAATAGAGTAGTATTAAGAGCAGAATGAAGGAAAGTGCCCCACTGCTATCTGTAATGGAGGTGAGCAACAATAATTGTCTATTTGCTTTTTCAATTCAGAACTTTCTTTTGCATTATGCAAAGTGATTACACTTGGTATGAAACTCTTATATAACGATCAGAAGCTTGTAATGTTTTGTAAGCACTCTGGAGCGAAACTACAGCAGTTTTAACTGCACAAGCACTTAGCTCAATCTGAGTCTGCTCAGGCTTCTGAAACATGTAGTTTATGCGGGGGCTTTCTCAGAGATTTACCATATTCATTAACATACACGCTCCCTTTCTAGTATTACATCTCATGAATATAGTCATCCCCTGATCAAACACGTGATCACTCTCCTTACAAACTTCATATTTCATTTACTAGGCAGGATATGCTGAGATGTGTTTTTCATTCTCTCTCTTTCAGGGTTCAAGAGGACTGCGTGGAACAAGGGGAGAGCAAGGGAATAAGGGATGTGATGGTAGTAGAGGTCCTAAAGTAAGAATCTACTGACTTTACTTTAGCTCAGCAAAATGTCTTTGCATTTATTTTTTGTTTACCTCATTCAAACAAATATTTGTTGTAATTCTTTTCAGGGATTCCAAGGAATATCTGGTGAAAAGGTACAGTACTGATGCACTTATTTTCTGAAAAACTTTGTGTTGATTTGACTACAAATCAGGTGAGATGGCTGAAAGCATAAATAAGAAATAAAAGTGCATTAAAGGAGGAGGGAGAAGAGAAAAGGTATACCCTCACCTTCATATAGACACATTGTCTTAATTCATCTTCCCGTGTAAGTATCCTTAAGTTTGAAGATCTTTGGGATGAGCCTGATGCTGTTCAAAAGCTCAATCCTGTGGTCTTTACCCAGGAGTAGTTTTGTTGACTCTCAAGAGAATAGAATCCGATGCTAAGTGATTCTTGGATTTATCACACTGCAAATTATTTTTGTTTAATTCAGGGTTTAAGGATTAACTTTTGCTTTCTGCAGGAAGATTGTAAAAACTTACTGTGACCCCTGGTGCCTAGGCAGCCCTCACTGGAAATGCCAAGGTCAGGGCAGGCTGCAAAAAGGAGAGCAGATTCTCCCAAAGACTGGTCGTTAACACTGAAATAAACTCACCAACCAGTCACAAAGTGTGCTTCTGATCTTCCCCCGCTGGTTATCAAGAAGCAAAAAAAAAAAAAATCACACAGCCCCTTTATTGCATTCCAGTTCTCTGGCTCCCAGTCAGCACCTAGGTCCAGTCCAGTGAGTTATTTTAAAACTCTGCTCACATATACAAAATGTTCCTCTGACCCCAAAGGGCCAGCCATGTTACTGGGTCAGTATAGGTTTGGATCTTACCCAAAATACCATGCTGCCAGCCAGTCTTTTAGTGTGTCAAACTAAAGATTTATTACAAAGAGAAAAGAACAAGAAGAGAGTTGTAAAATGGTGAAGCAATCAAATACATACAGAGACTTCAACGTCCATATATCGGGTTCTTAGCAGTATTTGTAAGTTTGCTGCCTTGAAAGTCCCTCTGGAACACATCCACAGCTTGGATGGGTCATTCAGTCCTTTGTTCAGAGCCTCAGTTATAGAAAAGTTACTGCAGAGGCCAGAAGCAGGATTGAAGACAAAATGCAGATGATGATGATGCAGCCAGCTGCCTTTTAAATTTCTTTTGCCACGTGGCTTGTACTACTTTTGTTCCAAACACAAGTTGTCCAGCACAGGCCATGGAAAAACCTTAGTTCTGTCCATAGGTATGCCCCTATATGCCTTGCTAAGTCATAAGGTGTCTTCCCTGGTTCCTTTCAATGGGTTCATTGTACAGTCAGTGGATGTTGATGGGCCATCAAACAGGCTAGGTCAGGGGTCAGCAACCTTTCAGAAGTGGTGTGCCGAGTCTTCGTTTATTCACTCTGATTTAAGGTTTCGTGTGCCAGTAATACATTTTAATGTTTTTAGAAGGTCCCTTTCTATAAGTCTATAATATATAACTAAGCTATTGGTGTCTTCCTTGGTTCCTTTCAGTGGGTTCATTGTACAGTCAATGGATGTTGATGGGCCATCAAACTTTCTAGGCAGTGCTGATGCCAATCTGTCTGCGGTGTCACCCATAAAAACAGCACAAGTTTGGAAATAGAGATGCCTTCATATCTATATAACTCACAATACAAAGGTGATACAAACATATAAATAAGATTATTATACTTGGCAAATTGTAACGCATTTGCAGAAACCTCACATGTCATGTCTGGTCAGATTCATTGTATTTTATAATATTGGTGTCAACAATATCATAGTGTCCCACATAATCCATACAGCATCTCACTTGCATTGAATTATAGAAATATTCATGTTACTGAAAATATAATTTGACGTGACTATTTCCACATGGAGCCACCCCCTATTAGCAATTATTCAGGGTGATTATGTATTGCTTGTGTTTAAGACACCAGTTTTACAGTCAAGAAGAAACAAGTCATTAAAAACAAAATACATGTCCCTGTTAAGGCTTTCATGTGACATAAAAAAAGAAATGTACTGGAATGACATAAAAGTTGGGTATCATTTTGACTTTCAGCTTATATTTATCTTGCTGGCCTTATTATTGGTAAATACTGTTCATGTTGGTCTCTTCCTCCTCATTCATTGTAGTGGTCACTTTAACTTTGGAAGTCTATCTGGACCCTTAAAGTTGACCAATAGCCTGGAGCATCAAAGGAAAATAAATGTGCAGATGCACTATTTTACAGCCTCATTCTGCTCCTGTTCAAGTCCATGACAGCCAGGGACTGCAGTGAGTGTACTATTTGGGTTTTAATCCCTTTTAGCCTGTTTTGAGGGTTGGACATGGTGTCTATTCTACTGTTGTACTTAGGGCAGATGTAAGAAATGAGATATTAAGCATTAATTTGTATATTTTTAAAATCTGGATGGCTTTGGCTTCCATGGTCAGCTATGGGAGTTCACATGGACACCATCTTTGCTGGACTGAGAGCACATAGTGGTTATTTAGATCACTGGGTCTTATATAATCCCTATCACTTTTGCTACCTCAGGGAGACGACGGGGACAACGGGATTGATGGAATTAATGGAGAGCAGGTAAATAGTTTTGCTTCTCATTTTCTGTTGACATCAATGAATGTTTTTTAAAATATGAAAACATTACTACTTTTTTCTTTT